AATATTTATACATTTTTTGAAACTCATACAAATACATATAAATGTGTATTTCAGTACTGTTTATAATATTTAAATAAAAAACATAATTGTCTAGGAATAGCTAGATAGATTTCAGCACAATAATACTATGTACAATTATGTAGAATTATGCCCCCGTTAGCAATTATGGTTATTAATAATTCAGACATTCATTACAAATTCACATTTCATCTTCAGGATGCTAAAATTTATTAATTAATAAAGTTAATGTAAATATAAAGCTTAATATGCATGATTATATGAAATCTAGAGAATTTATAATTCCCTAAATAGTAATAATTTATTCTGTGAGAGTATGGATTATTTTTAAAAATTGATACTATACTCACTTTCTAACTTTTCTGTGAGGAAAATGTATATTTTCATTATAACTAGGATAGAACATTATTTTCCCAAAATAAAGCAGTATATATTATAATAGAAAGTCAGTACAATGTAGAAAATAATACACATACACATATATATCCATAGGATTTTGGCAGATATGTTTCTGTATATTTTATAAATAGATGAATATATAAGGAATTATAAGTAGAGCATACAGCTTTATTAACTTAATGGTTTATTAAGTTTCCTGCTTATCATTTGTAATTATACCCCAGAGACTAGATAATTTACATATTAAAGTTTGAATGCCATCAGATTAGTAGGTTTCCATAAAACATTTGTTGATTTAAAAAACAGTGTTTCTCTAGGAATGAATCCCCAAAGAGGAGTTGATGAACCAAAGGATATGCTAAATTTTAGGGCGTTTGTTTTATGTTACACTCTTATGACTAGAAATATTAAATAATCTTTGGTTTAACTTGTCACATAGAAAAGTTCCCACTTGTCTAGTCAAGTGCCAACACAAGATAATACCATAAAAATATCTATACAAATAAAAGGAAAAACAATCACAGTAACATTGTTTTAATTTGACAGGTAAAATGCTAGTTATTTATTATTTTAAGTTGTATTTATTTGATTAGATGTAAATTTGGCCATTTTTTCACTTGTGTATTAATGTATATTTTTTATTTGGTGAATTCCCTTTTCATATCTCTTACTAAATTTATATTAGAGTTTACATTTTTTGTACAAGTTTTAAAGTCTTTTTGGTGGATAAGGATGTGGTTTGAAGATACATTTTTGTAAATAATGTTTTAGTGAAAGACAGCCGTGCTCATTTGTTTCCGTATTTGTCTGCTTTTTTCTACAACCATGAGGTAGAGTAGTTGTCACAGAACTTTATAACCTGCAAATGTAAATGTTTACCACCTGGCCTTTGAGAAAATGTTGGTCAACGCCTGTCAGATAGAAGTTAAAAACAACAGGGAAAAAGTATATGTCTTTATGTTTAATCTTCGTCTTTAAAAATGTTTCATTGAAAATGCTCTTTGATATCATATTCTTGTAGCTGAAGTGTTTTTTTAAACATTTCCTTAGCTCTGGTTTGCTGGAAATGAATTTTCTAAGTTTTCATCTACAAAGTTTTCCACATTCTTTTATCAATACTTTATTTTTTTACACCAATTTTAGGTTCATATCAAAATTCAGAGGAAAGTACCGTATAGAGATTTCCCCCACACCCCCTGATTCCAGGCAGGCATAGACTCTCCCATTTTCAGTATCCCCTACCAGAGTGGTACAATGTTACAGTTGATGAACCTACATTGACACATTGTAATCATCTGAAGCCCACAGTTTACATTATGGTTCTTGTATATTCTGTGGGTTTGGACAAATATATAAGGACATGTACGCATCATTACGTATCATACAGAGTATTTTCATTCCCCTAAAAATCCTGTATGCTTCACCTATTCATGCCTCCCTCCCCTGCAAACCTAAAATTCAAATGTCTCGTAGTTGAGCCTTTTTGAGGATGTCATAAACTTGGAAACATACAGTATGTAGTTTTTTTCAGATTGGCATCTTTCACCTAGTAATACGCTTTCAGGTTTCCCCCATATCATGGGTTTGATAGCTCATTTCTTTTTTGTGCTGAATAATATTGCATTGTCTGGATGTACCGCAACTTATTTATCCATTCTCCTGCTGAAAGACATCTTGTTGCTTCCAAGTTTTGGGAGTTATGGATAAAGTTGCTTAAACATACATGTGCAGGTTTTTGTGTGGATTTAAGTTCTCAACTCTTTGGGTAAATACCTAAGAGAGCTATTGCTGGATCTTGAGGTAAAATTATGTTTAGTTTTGTAATAAACTGCCTTCCAAAGAGGCTGTACCATTTTTCATTCCCACTAGCAATGAATAAGAGTCCCTGTTGCTCCACATCCTCGCCGGCATTTGGTGTGGTCAGTGTTCTGGAAATTGGCCACTCTAGTAGGTGTGTGGTGGTATCTCTATTGTTGTTTTAATTTGCATTTCTCTGATAAAGTTTCTTGTGGAGCATCTTCTCATATGCTTATTTTCCATGAGCATATCTTCCTTGGTGTGGAATCTGTTAGGGAATTTGGTTTACTTTTTAATCGAGGGTTTTTTGTTTTCTTATTGTTGAGTTTTAAGAGTTTTTTGTATATATTCAATAACAGTCCTTTATTAGATATACATTTAACAAATATTTTCTCCAAGTCTGAAGCTTGTCTCATTCTCTTGACTTTGTCTTCCACAGAACATACATTTTTAATTTTAATGAAGTCCACTTTATCAATTATTTTATTTTATAAATCATGCCTTGTTGTTTATCTAAAAAGTCATCACCCTACCCAAGGTCATCTAGGTTTTCTCATATATTATCTTCAAGGAGTTTTATAGTTTTGTGTCTTATATTTAGGCCTATGATCCATTTTAAGTTAAGTTTTATGAAGAGTCAAAGAGTGTAAAGTTTGTGTCTAGATTCAATTTTTTGCATATAGATGTTCAGTTGTTCCAACGACATTTATTGAAAAGACTGTCTTTGCTCCATTTTATTGCTTTTGCTTCTTTGTCAAAAATTAGTTGACTATTTTTGTGGGAGTCTGTTTCTTGATTCTTAGTCTGTTTCATTGAGCTATTCTTCTATTCTTTTATGAATACCGCACTGCCTTAATTAGTATTATAATATGTCTTGAAGTTGAGTAGTGTCAGTCCTCCAACTTCATTCTTCAAGATTGTGTTGACTATTCAGGTTCTTTTGCCTCTGCATATAAACTTTATCAGTTTGTTGACATCCACAATATAACTTGCTGGGATTTGGAGTGCAATTGCATTGAATGTATTGATTAAGTTGGGAAGAGCTGACATTTTGACAATATTGAGTCTTTCTATCCATGAAAAAGAAATATTCATCCATTTATTTAGTTCTTCGATTGCGTTTATCAGAGCTTTGTAGTTTTCCTCAGACAGATCTTGTATATATTTTGCTATATTTACACCTAAGTATTTCATATTTTTGGGTGTGAATGTAAACAGTATTGTGTTTTTAATGTCAATTTCCATTTGTTTATTTCTGGTATATAGGAAAGACCTTGACATTTGTATACTAACCTTGTGTTAAAAACAGTTTTTAACTTGTCTTATAATTTCTACTTTGATCCATGTGTTATTTAGAGATGTGTTGTTTAATCTCCAAGTATTTTGGGATTTTCCAGCTATCTTTTTGCTATTGATTTCTGGTTTAATTCCTTTGTGGTGTGAGAGCAGACATTGTATGATTTTTGTTCTTTAATTTGTTAAGGTTTATTATGGCCCAGAATGTGGTCTTTCTTGGTGAAGGTATCACGTGAGCCTGAGAAGAATGTGTATTGTGCTGTTGTTGGATGAAGTAGTCCACAGATGTCAATTATATCCAACTGATTGAAGGTATTGTTGAGTTCAACTATTTCTTTACCTATGTTCTGCTTGCTGGATCTGTCCATTTCTGATAGACAGGTATTAAAGTCTTCAACTTAAATCCTGGATTCATCTATTGTCTCTTTGCAGTTCTATTAGTTTTTGCCTCATGTATTTTGATGCTGCATTGTTAGGCATGTTAAAGACAGGTATGTCTTCTTGGAGAATAAACCCCTTTATCATTATATATTGTCCCCTCATTTTTCCTGGTAACATTTTTAACTGTGAATTCTGCTCTATTTGAAATTAATAGCTACTATAGCTTTCCTTTTTTTTTTATTATTAGTATTAGCATGGCATATCTTTATCCATGCATTTACTTTTAATTTATGTATCTTTATATTTAAATTGTGTTCTTTGTAGACAACGTGTAGATAGGTTTTGTTTTTTAATCCACTCTGACAATCTCTGTCTTTTAATTGGTACATTTAGACCATTGACATTCCAAAGGACTATTAATGTACTTGGATTAATATCTGACATATTTGTGACTGTTTTCTGTTTGTTGCCCTTGTAAAAAATGAGGCAGCTGGGGCCGGCCTGGTGGCGCAGTGGTTAAGTATGAACATTCTGCTTTGGCGGTCTGGGGTTCTTTGGTTAGGATCCTGGGTGCGGACATGGCACTGCTTGGCAAGCCATGCTGTGGTAGGCATCCCACATATAAAGTAGAGGAAGATGGGCACGGATGTGAGCTCAGGGCCAGTCTTCCTCAGCCAAAAGAGGAGGATTGGCAGCAGATGTTAGCTCAGGGCTAATCTTCCTCAAAAAAAGAAAACAATTAGGCAGCACTGAAGCCCTTATGAGAGCAAGACCCATTTTTTTTCCACAGGCAATGAGTAGGAATGTGTTTGACCCCACAGCCATCTGGGATGAGCTGCTTTTCAGTCACCATGTCTTCAATTCATCAGCTTTAAACTTGATAAAGCCCCACTTCTTGAAGATATGGATCTTCTTGCAGCCAGTTAACTTGAACTTGCATACGGCCTCAATCACATGCTCCCTGTTCTGCAGCTTGGTTCAGACATCACGAATTGGCCAATGTTGAACCTGACCACTGTGCCCTGGGGCTTTCTGAAGGCATCCCACATACTTATCTGGAGCCTACACTAGGGACAGTGTGAGATCAGACACGAATGTCCACTGGAAAGGGCTGTCTCCACATCCTTTAGAGCAACCCATGTGAGCAGCAGGCCATATACACTATCGAGGGAGATGCTATTTGCAGCCGTTGCACACTGGCCACTCCCATGAAGAAAAGAGAATGTTTGGCTTAATTTGCTGCAATTTTTTTACTTTTTTTAGTGCTTGTCCTGGAGTATGCAATATACGTTCACAGCTAATCGAAGTCCACTTTCAGATAACACTATACACATCGCTGGCCGTGTGAGTACCTTATAATAACAAAATAATCCTATCTCCTCCCTCACATCCTTTGTATCATTGCTGTCATTCGTTTCACTTATACATAAACATATATATATAATATATAAGCATATATAATTAAATACATCGTTGGTATTACTATATTTAAAAAACTATTATCTGATCAATTAATAAGAAAAATAAAAGTTTTAATTTAACTTTATTCATTCTTTGATGTATTCCTTTCGTTATGTCGATCTGAGTTTCTAACCTATGTTATTTTCCTACTCTCTAAAGAACTTCTTTGAAAATTTCTTGCAAGATAGTTCTACTGGCAACAAATTCCCTCACTTTTTGTTTGCCTGAGAAAGTCTTTATTTCTCCTTCACATTTGAAGGATAATTTCACAGGGCAGAACATTTTAGGCTGGTGGTTGTTTTCCTTCCAATACTTTAATTATTTTACTCCACTCTCTTCTTGCTCCTGGTTTCTAAGGAAAATTTGGATCCAATTCTTATATTTGTTCCTCTGTAGATAAGGCATATAATTTCCCCTCTGGAGTCTTTCGAGATTTTTCTCTTTATCTTTGATTTTCTGTAGTTTGAAAATGGTATGCCCAGGTGTAGTTTCTTTGGCATTTATCCTGCTTGGTGTTCTATGAGATTCCTGGATCTGTGGTGTTGTGTTTGATATTAATTTGGGGAATTTCTCAGACATTATCATTTTGCATCGTTTCTTCTGTTCTTTTCTCTCCTTCTGGTCATCCCATTATGCATGTATTATACATTTTGTACTTATCCCACAGTCCTTGGGTTATCTTTCGGTTTTTCTCATTCTTTTTTCTCTTTGCTTTTTGGTTTTTGAGGTTCTATTGACATGTCCTCTAGCTCAGAGATTCTCTCCTCAGCCATGTCCTGTGTCCTGCAAGCCCATCAAAGGCATTCTCATAGTCGTTTAAAATTCTTGGTCTGATAATTCCAACATCCCTCCTGTGTCTGGTTCTGATGCTTGCTCTATCTCTTCAAATGGTTGTTTTCTTATACCTTTTGTTAAGCCTTGTAATTTTTTTCTTGATAGTGGGACGGGACGTACTGGAAAGGGAACTGCTGTCAACAGGCCTGTAGGAATGTGATGGTGGGGTGTGGAGGGAGGGGAAATGTTCTATGATCCTATGATTAGGTCTCAGTCTTTCAGTAAACTATATGCCTCTGGACTGTGAACTTCATAAGTGTGTCTCATTTTTTTCTTTCCCGGGTTAGGTGGGACACGATGGCTAGAGTGGGTTGGAGTTGGGTTTTTCCCTTCGGCCAGGTCAGTTAGGCTGTGATAAGACCCCAGCAGGTTAGTCTCTGGTTAATTAGTTTCCCCTGAGGGCAGGCCTTGTGAAGAAGAGCAGAATGCTCTGTGGTGTTTCAAAATGGTTCTTTTCCCCTTCCTTCTCCCAAAAGCCCAAGAGGATTTCCTCAGATATTTACTATGAGAGTCTGGTTGAGCTTCTGGAGGTAAATGTCACAAAATTGCAGGGGCCTCCCTGTGACTGGGGTCCCCTGGAGGTTTTTCTTTTTAAGATTTTATTTTTTCCTTTTTCTCCCCAAAGCCCCCAGGTACATAGTTGCATATTCTTTGTTGTGGGTCCTTCTAGTTGTGGCATGTGGGACGCCGCCTCAGTGTGGTTTGATGAGCTGTGCCATGCCCGTGCCCAGGATTCGAACCAACCAAACACTGGGCCACCTGCAGCGGAGCGCGAGAACTTAACCACTGGGCCACAGAGCCAGCCCCGCCCCTGGAGGTTTTAACTCTTGGAGTCCACACTGGACCTCCAGCATTTCGACATTTATAATTCAGGTTTTCTTACCCTGGCACCGGTTCCCGCAGAGTTTTCTCCCTCGGAGTCTCTGCTCTTGGAAGCCACAACTCCCTGCATTGGCCTGTCTGTCTCTCCAATCTTGAGGGCTGCGTTTTGCCTTATGTCGTCCCCTCTGTTAAGCGTCCAAGAAGAGTTGTTGATTTTTCAATCTGTTGAGCATCTCACTTGTTGTTGGTACAGAGTGGCAACTTCCAAGTTCCATATACGCAGACTGGAAACTGGATCCTATTATTTTTTGCATGTAATAAACTTTTTATTTGAGAATAATCTGACATTTATAGAAAAGGTACAAAGATATTACAGAGAGTTCCCATGTACCACACAACCAATTTCTCCTGTATTAACATTTCATATAAATATGGTATTTTTGTCATGATATTGATACATTATTGTTAAATCAAGTCCGTATCCTATTCATATATCCTCAGTTTTTACTTAATGTTCTTTTACTGCTCCAGGATCCCATCCAGGATAAACATTACATTTATTTTTCATCTCTCCTTAGGGTCCTATTGTCTGTGAGAGTTCATCTGACTTCCTTGTTCTTGATAACCTTGACAATTTTGAGAGGTATTGGTCAGGCATTTTGTAAACGTTCCTTATTTGGGCTTTCTCATGATTATAATGGGGTAATGTATTCATGGGAGTAAAACCACAGAGGTGCCCTGTCATTCTCACCATTTTGTATCAAGGATGCATATTCTCAAGATGACTAATCACTATTAATGTTAACCTTGATTGCCTGGCTCAGGATGTGTTTGTCATATTCGTCTCCTGTAAATTTGTTGGAATTTCCTCTCCTTTCTCTACCCTCTTCTTTGGAAGAATGTCACTTCACACAGCCCACCTATAAGGGGTAGGGCATTGTGCTCCTCCTCTTTGAGAGTGGATTGCCTACATAGAGTATTTTGAATATTTCTCCACAAGAGTTTTGTCTCTCTTTTCCCATTTATTTATTCAATTATGTGCTTATATGAGTACTCATGGATATTCATTTTATATTTTGTGTTATAATCCAATAATAATTTATTTATTTTGCTGCTCATATTCTTCCAGTTTTGTGCATTGGGAGCTCTTTTAAGTGACTCCTGTGTGTCCATTAATATACTCTGTATCCCCGTTTGTGTATGTGCATGTGTAAGGTGTATGTGTGTGTGTATGTGTGTGTGTTCAGCACTTTCTTACTCTCTGGCATTGTAAGACTTATGTGTTTCCTGCCCTTGTCCTAGGATCAGGGATTTCTCCAAGGGACTCTGTTTCCTTTGAAGGAAGAATCGTATTAGAAACTAAGTTCTGGGCAGGAGTGTGCTCTCATTTTGTTTTTCGTTCCTTTTTCTTCCTTCCTGTCTTCCTTTTCTTTCTCGAATCTCAGACTTTCATTCTGTGATCATTTTCTTCATTTTCAAGTACATTTTTCGGAAGTTCCTTGGGTTTGTTGGTGCTGGATTTTAAATCCTTAGTCTTTGCTTATTTTAAAGTGATTTTATTTTTCCATCAATCTTGAAAAATTATTTATAAAAATACAGATTTTACTTTTCATTGTACAATAATTTTTATGTATCATGTTTTCCTCATCATTTTTTTACAATTATGCACTTAATTGAATACCATATTAAGTAACTTTATAGCTTACATTGTTTTGTAGTTATCTGAAATATTTGATTTTAGACTTTAAGGTAAAAATGTTTTCTCACCACTCTAACTCATGTTATGAAGAAATAATTTCTCAATCATACTTAGACTAAAATCAAGTTACCTACAAAGGAATAAACTCAGAAGAGGATCATATTTCTCCTCCTTCATAATTTAATGTCGTAGACATACATAACAATGACTAGGATAATTTGCCAAGAAAAGATGGTGACCTAGGAATTCTTTACCCAACCATAAAGCCAGCTCAGTGAGTCATGATCTATGCTCTCTCCGCCCCTTCGTCTCATTTCCTATTTACTCCAAAATTCCAATTGCAGTATATTGTATCTTTGTAAAAATGTTTTAAGGACTTTTGAAAAGATGAATCTCTGTATTTATTGGGCAGAGTTTGATGTACAGCTATGATTTAAATTGGCTGTTTTGAATTAATATTTTAAATTAGAAACGATAAGCTTAGGTGTATCTATTATGTCATTCTGCTGATTGGGGAAAAAAACAGGTAAAATTAGGGTGATTATAGAGGCAGGCAATTACTTCAGATAAAAAATGAATCCCTGAAAAGGGAAACTGATTATTGTGTCATATTTCAAATTTATGTTGAAGAAAAAATCATTAGAACTTACACGAGTATAGGTAATGTGAGTTGGATAATAAAGAAAGACAAAGCAGAGAATAAGTCTAACAATCATTTGGCTGAATGTGTTGTACACTGAGCCATTTAGTGAAGCAATAGAGAGGGAGTATATATTGGAGCAATGTTATTTGCATCATTTTAGGCATATAGATTGCAATGTCTCTGTTCAGCAGGTATACAAAGAGATCAATCTGCCCCTTGTAAGACACATGAACAGAAGATAGATTTGAGAGTAATCAACATAAAGTTGGTTCTTCATGACATTGCCCAGGAATAGTAGGTAGGGCTCTTCCTCTTTATCAGAAAGGATCACTTGATATGCTGCTCAGTTAGACTAATTTTTGATGTGTTTTTATCTTTATCTGATATATTTCTCTATCTATATATCAGCTACCATTTTATCTATTTATACGTTCTTCCAGATAGAACTACGAATAGAAGTAGTCATCCAAGCAAAATCTAAATTGAAGATGGCAGACCTGTCTTTTCTTGAACAATGTCAGGCTGTTTGTCAATAACCTGTTGTTGTATGACATGGGGGACTTTCCAATTTAGAAAATTATTGGAAGAGATTATTAAAATTCTCAATACAAGTAAGTTGTTTTGCTCTTTGAAAACAAAATCTTATCATGGTCAGTGTTTGTGGATTTAGAAAGGAATCGGAATTTCTTTGGAATATATGCTTGCATGGTGTTTGAGACTACCCCTCTCCAATCTTGAAATGGATCGTCCTCAGAAGCCTTGGTCCAGATCAGTCTGGCAAGTGTC